ATAAGTATATTAATAATAAGAGAAATCTATAGGGAATTAATTATAAACTGATTAAAAGATATTTCAAATCAATTAGAAGCTATTACGAAGCAAGCACTGATTCTACCGGTCGCATTGCGCGCGACCACAAAGTATTCTTGGAGCAGCCAGGTTAAAATCCCTGTAATAAAAAATATAGAACAAATATTACGCTTCGTTCGTTAAATCTTCTCATTATTTCTCAATGCGCACTTAAGCGTATGTTTTCGAACATGAGAAGGCGACTTTTGTGAAAACAATTGAAAAAACAAAACAAAAACGAGAGAAAATGAGATACAGAGTTTTTTTCCCCGCGCAAAACAAAACACGACTCGACAGGCACGGTCTGAAAACAAGTGGGATGGGAAGCGGCGCGCGCACTTGAGTTTGCAATCGTAATAATCCGTTACTTTTAAATATTGAATCGGAGTAAATTTGACTAAAAAATGAAAAGATGCTTACATTGCTGCCCACCGAAGAATGCTTTCTCTTCGCGCTACCTTCTTTCTTGAGGTGATTTTAATACCGAAAACGAGCAAGCAAAAATAAAGGGAAATTAATTTGAAAGCTAACTGACATGTCCGTTCAAATTTTTAACGGCGAATAAGCACTGACTCGAATTTCGCGACAGAATTGATAAAAAATCGAATAGAATGAAATAGGAAAAGATATCTGAAGCTAATTAATTAAAAAGATTGAAGCAAAGGAATTCTACGGCCGCATTGCACGCGGTCATAAAATCAAGAAGTATTATTACGAAACAAGCACTGACTCTAAGATCGCATTGCACGCGATCACAAGAAGAATCTGAAAGAAGAATCTGGAAAAAAGCAGAATTAATACACAAGGGGATGGGTAGGGGGGTAAATCAAATGAAACAATTTATTGCTGTCCACCATCGAGCGTTTGTCTTAAAATTTACTGCCTTTCCCTGAAAATCAATTAAATCGTATTAATTTCTATCAGATCACATATTAAATCATGTTTGGCATCATCAATGAATGCCAAACATGTCATTTAAATTATACGAATTTAAAAAACTATCACGAGAAATCGCGTATTTGGAATCGCGTGGAACGAAACAAAATGTTCCATCGAACATTCGAGATGAACATGGAAAACCGTTGAAATTCTATCGGAAAAATAAAAATTCAGAGACTAAATGATTTTTATTATTAATACCGTGTTCCGCGTCGACTAGTATTGACAATTGAATGTATCAGTAATTGGTAATAGCTTGTAGAAAGAATAAAATATATTTTTCGAATATCGATCGATTTTTCTAGAACAAAAATCAGCAAGCGACAAAACGTCTAAAAATTATTCCAGCTTTGCTACGTTCGAATTTAATTAGGAAACTTCTAGTAATTTAGCTTTAGTATTCTCGATATATACCGGAAAATGTACGAACAACCGAATAGAATATCAAATTTTATGCTTACGAACTCCTTACACTCAATACTTCACCGATTGTCAAGCCAGGATCCATCAGATCGATATGTCGCGTGCCCAGCGCCCAGCATCGTAAATCTGCCAGCTCGTGTCAAATCTGTAACAAAATCGGAACAAACGACTGTATAAAAATGAAACTTATCAACGAAATAAAGATTTTAAAACATACTATTAAAGAATCTCGAAAGAATGTAGAGAACATTCGCGAATGTGCAAGCGACGTATTCCAGAAATGTTCAACAAGTAGTTGAGGAAGCGCATATATATCAGTCAGAATTAACAGCCAAAGTCTCGAAATAATAATGTAAGAACAGTAATTATAACACTTACGTTATGTAATAAATGCGTAGTAATCAACTACTAAGCCGGTGACGATTGAAACAGCACAAGGGGTTGACGGTTGAAGTCGGATGCCGGTACAAAATTGGTACAGAACGCGGGAACCACTTGCGACCGGCACGCTGCAACGCACAACGATGAATGGCTCAATTCTGTCGCAATGCGCAATTAGCGGCGTTGGCAGAGTGGGGGTACGCGTCATTCCCGCACGGAGAGTGGGGAGTAGATGGGAGGGGAGGTTGAGCGCTCACGCGCCAACATTTAAAATCACGCCGCTCTCGTCTCTACGATATTTTTCAAATTATTTTAATGATTTTCAGGCTCTTTTTATACAATTTGTACAGCATTTCGTTTTAATTCAGAAAGCGCGATATTTGCTTACTTGCTTCATCGTTTTATCTATTTATTATTGAAAATACTATGTATATTAAGGTGCTTTGTTTAATATGGATTAAATAAAAATCCTAATATCTTACGAATAGAAACGACCTCGAAAAAATTACAGTTCATAATATTCATTAGTCTAAATCTATATCACTATTCTATATCTTTGAGTTCTTCGTCATGTCGGAGGCCAAGGCCCATTCGCAAGTGTCGACGACGCTGGGCCTGGGCAACTCAGGCCCGTAACGTAAAAGAAAAGGACAGTATAAGGTACAAAGGTAGAAAGAAATGGAGAATCGAGGTGAAGCATAACGAAAAACAGATGTGAGTCGTAAAGAACAGTGGCAAACCAAAGAAATGTGACACCGTAAAACCCATAGAACAGGTCACAGGTGAATAGAGAGATTACCAATAAATCAACCCTTACAATCAGACTGAACTGTTAGACCATGTGCTCTAAAGTCGAAACCATGTACCTGACCATGGCTGTATCCAAGCCGAAATTCGACAGTCGTGATTTCCCAACTCGTATCCCAGAACGAGTGTCTACTTTCGTTCGATTTCGGAGACTTACGAAGTGTAATTTTGGTTTGTTTTATTTGTTTGGTGAATCGAAAGAGCGTCGCGTCAATCCACGAAGCTGTTTGCGACCCACCGATTTTTTAAGGGTAGGTTATCCGATTTGGGGATACTTTCTTTATTTTCCTTGCATAATTTGATTGCTATCTATAACATATCCTTTATTTGAATTAATTAAAAAAAAAAGAAATATGTAATCCTGCAATATTTTATATTTTCTTTTCTTTCATCGATTCAGATTATGTCTATACAGAAGTTCAGCCTCTAACAAGACTGTACGTGTAACTTGCATTGTGTGCATCCACTCACACTTGTTCGTCACGTGAACAGGAAGCGTCCCATTAACGCTTTAAATTACTGGAAACCAAGCCAGCTGCTCCAGAACGTTTCCTTAGCTCGTAGAATACCTACGTGAAAAGCATACAGCAAACTCTTCGAATCTCGTTCCGCAATCGCTCTTCAGATTCCGGTGAAACGTAGAAGTGGTTCAAGGTTCGATAAGCCCGCGCGTGTGTACGTACATGAATATATGTCAAGGTGATATAACTGTGGAAATCGATCCTACGATTGTCACTGATGCAATGCGAGGATCGACGCTGCGTATAAATAATGCGTCACGAGAATTCTCCAACCAACGTTTAGTGAATTATTATAAATAAATGTTGGAAGTAATGTTTTCCAAATTGAAACAGTGCCAAGGAGGTGAAAGTTCAATGAAATGTAAAGCATAGGATTCCGTAATATATCGTCAGGATTATTGCTGTTATTCAGTCGAAACATGAGTAATCGTCATATAAACAGACTACGTGCCAACAATGGATTATCACAAGAATTACTGATAAGAATAAAAGACAGTCAATGGCTACTTGAGTTTCTGTTAAGCACTGAACGACTGCCAAACACTGTTAGTAATGGAAGGTAGAGAACGTATTTCAGAGGATTTCCAAGGATCATTTACAAGTTTAACTGAGAGGTTCCTATAGCAAGGTGCATCGCTGATACGACTCAGGTTTATCAGTGAACAGAATTCAGTTTCTATTAAGCACCGAACGATTGCCAGACACTGCCAGTGATGGAAGGTAAAGAGCGTATTTTAGAGGACTTACAAGAAGCGTTTGTAGTTTTAACTGAGAGCTACTTAGAGCGAGGTGCATCGCTGGCACAGCTCAAGTCTGTCAGTGAGAAAAATGGAGATAATAAGAGAAGCCTGGTGTCCAATTATGTATGGAATAGAAAAGTTCTCGCCTTGTTCGCGTCGATATTTTGCAGCATATTTCTTAAGCATTTATACACTGACACGATTAAGAGTATTCGTGGTACGAGATGCTTGGTACCAAATAATTATTTCGTATGGGAGTTCACTCGGCCGATATCGGACTGCGATTACTGCAGGGACGTGGCAACCGCGTTGATCTTACCGAATTTAACTCGCGAACAGTTCAAGGAATACGCGTATTCCTCCAGACCGATGGTGGTAAAGCGTGCTGCGAGTGGCTGGCCAGCCTCGAAGGTATTTAGCTGGAAATTCTTCAAACATCTGTATGAGAATATTGACGGTGCTTATGATTCGGCAGATGAGTGCCAGTTCTTGCAGTTCAAAAGCAACTTCACTAGTTTGCGCGAAGTGTTTGCGATGAGCGAAGAGAGAGCTACGCAACGGAACGGGAAAGATCCTTGGTACGTTGGTTGGAAGAATTGTCACCTTCAGGTATTGGACGTCATGAGACAGTACTATAGCGTGCCTGATTTCTTGCCAGAGGATGCCGAGATCCCTTATTCTAATTACGTTTTCATGGGCTACGGAGAAGGCGCTGTCATGCACGTGAGTATAACTTCAACGAAATTCTGACTTGTGTTAATAAAACGAATTTCAACTCGTCGTGCTCTTTCAGCTGGATTACATCTCACGTTTAATGTGGCAAGGACAGGTCATAGGCGATAAAACGTGGAACGTCGCGCCGACTCCGGAATGCGACGATCTCTGCCCACGTTTCAATTTTACCGTTCACGCCGGAGACGTCGTTCTCGTCGACACGAGAATCTGGTATCACAGCACTTACGTCGAAGGGAAAAGATTCAGTCTGACGGTCACCTCGGAATACGGCTAAACGTTTATCATAAAAAGTATTTTTATATCGTGAAATTGAAACTGCCTTAACGTTTAAGTTCATCGAGTTTTTATATGCACAAAAACTTTGATACTAACGGGACATGCTGTTAAAGAGCGGCATCGAATTGTTTATTAATCTTGTAAATTAATCAGCGAGTAACCGGGTAAAATGAAATTATATTGAGAGCATGCATCGATTTCTGCCATAATTAAAAACTAGTCGAATAGTTTCGGGCGCTATTGTGCAATGCAAACGATTATTATAATATATATATGTATATATATATATATATATTTTATATTATAGTATACATATTTAAATTTTGATACGTATACATGCATTTGAATAAAAACTGTTGTAAACCATCGTAAAACAATTTTACTTCCAATCAAGAGGTGATACATATACAATTAAACATGCTTCGATTAACATCGCATAAAATGTTGTAAAACAAAGTTGAACCGCGATCATTAATTCAGACGTGTTTTAATATATAGATAATATATTATACGTATGTACATGTGGAATACTGTATCCTTCCATCCCTACAGTTTTCAATAAAATACATGAACGTGTAGGCAACGTATTTCGATGTAAAATCCGTGATCACCAGTATTTATATATCAGCAGCAACTTTTATTTGATATATCCATTTAATTGCGTGAAACACAACGATAAAACCTTCTTTTTAAATAGATCATTTTATACAATCTACATAATAAGTATAAATACTCGTGTACTTCGAAGCATAACGATACAGTATACAGTATACATGTAGTAGTGTTACATTTAAAAATTGCAAATAGCATAAGAAAGATAGAAATATTGTTTCATTTAATTACATACACCAAAAACGACGATATAGCAAAAACCTAGAATGGAATGTATATACCTGTTGTTACGCAGTACAGCATATTATACATATAATACTAAGTGGACAACAAAAATGTTGATGTTACATCACCATTTTCAGACTTCAAGGATTCCTTTCTACTGGTCCTTTTTCTCGGTCGCCTGCTGGTAGCTCGGCGGGCTTTCCTAAAATCCGTACAGGTGAAAATCTCGTTGAAATGTTCAACGATATTCGCAGTAATTAATTAAATCGTGTCGGATTACTCACGTAGTACGCAGGAGGTGGTACGTAGGCACATTGCGGTCGACTCGGATCATAATATGCACTCTGAGCAGCCTCGGCTGCTTTTGCATCTGTAAAATATGAAGGAAATAAAGCACTAACGCGACTGACTTGCACATTTCTACTCGGAATACGAATCGCACGTACATTTGTACATGCTCGTTGCGGTGAACTTAAATTGATTTGGCATTTTCTCTTTCTATGGAATACTCAAGCGAAGTGATTGACTCGAGGTCCAGTCGAGGTCTCATTTATTTCGTAACACGGTTTGTTCGATGCAAGTGCGATTATAAAGCGGATCACTTTCAACTCATTAGTAATACGAACTTTGAGATATGGTCTAAAAACACACAGGTTTTGTCAACGTTCTGTGATACGACACTCTCGTCGAAATCATTGATTATTCCCTTTCTGATGTTATTGTAAAGACGAACGAGGAATATTGAACACTTTTCGAATAATATATATGGAAAATTGAAGAATCTTCGAATTATCTATTACTCATGACACTTCACGCTTTTTTGAACTATCTCTGACAGCTATGAGATAATAACTGAGCATAGTGAAAGTGAAGCTTACTCCAGGTCAACCGAGCCCATTGTGCAATATTATTGCATAATATTCAAAACCTTCAAGTTTGCCAGATGAAGTGGAAACGATGGTAGGGCGTTATTCGCTCGGTTTTACAGACCGACGGACAGATTATTATTATTTACCAAGCAAAATACCTTCGTATTGATGGGTTTAAATAAAAACAGCAAGTAGTATTTGGCTAAGTTTTAATAACATTATATACGTTTTATAATTATGATCATCATCACAAAGCTATAATATGATAAGAAGCAGCGAAAATATAATACTTCAATATACAGTACACTAACAAAAGGTAAAACATTTAAAAATAAATACTGTGATTGTGTATGCTATATTATGTGTCTTCTGTATGCGTTACAAAAAGACTAATTACGCGTATAGTGTTACGAACAGCAGTAATAATATACACATGTCTCTCTTATCTTTTTCTTAAGAAAATTAAAAAAAAAAGACGAATAACACAACCATTTATTGCGATCGGGTTTTGGAGAATCACATAAACATGCATACACAAAATATGTATGGCCTCACACGTGATTTACAATTAGTAATTAGGCGGGTATGGATTATAAGGATTCTGTTGCGGATAGTAGCCAGGCTGGGCGTAGTTACTATTACCCTGGGCATACTGTGTGTACGGTGGAGGAGTCTGTGGATAACTATTATACGCTGGCTGTCCATAGTTTGGGTACGCACCTGCTTGAGACATTGGCTGGGTGTTATAACTTGGATTAGCCCACGCCGGTGCTCCGTTTTGTTGCGGCGGTGCCCAATTCGGTTGTTGGCTGGAATTACCCCATGCACCTTGCGGAGGCGCGTTTGCGTATCCTTGGTAAGGCGTGTTTATGCCAGGATACGGTGGTGGCATGTCAGTCATGTACACGCTGTTAGCTATAACGGACGAGATACATGTAATCTCTGTTTAGAGATCGATTGATCGTTTTGAAATAATAAATATTCAACCTGGTGGCGTATATTGAAACGCATCGGTCTGTGGCAGCCAGCCGTAGTACCCAGCGGGTGCAGCTTGATAAGCTGGAGGAGGTGCTGCGTACCAGTTCGAGGTCGGTGGCTGATACGGTGGTGGAGCATCGTTCGCAGGTCCATTACGTTGAGCTGACATTCAGATAACGTTAGAAATAACAAACAATCTCTTCTAACTATAAACTCACCCATTGCTGCTGCCCTTAACATCGCCTGGCCGAATTCTATCGCACCGCCGCTTTTGAAATGCAGTTTGAACTTGCATTCACCGACCCAGTTCCCATTCGGCTGAGCGCGGCACTTGCCTTTGATGTAATTCGCACCGAACATCGGCTGTTCTACTTCGACTTCGCTAAGGGTTATGAAAGGGAAGCTGAACGACTGCATCTTCTCCTTGTGATCTTTAGCATTGAAGATCATCCTGTGAGTCGTCAGGTATAATCTACCATGTTTGGTGCCTTGGAACTCTGGCTGCTCCTGTCCGTGGAACTCCATCGTGACATTGTCACAAAATAGGAGTATACTGTAACAATTAATTGTTTGTATTACTGGTTAAATAAACAAGG